TGTTTTTGTTCCAGAAGAAATGAAGTAGAGTTAGACGGTGTAGAAATGGTGTGGGTAGAATTGAGGAACCGTAAAGGTGAAAAAACCATAGTTGGAGTTGTGTACAGGCCTCCAAACAGTAGTCAGGAGCTGGGATGCAAGATACACCAGGAGATAGAAAAGGTGTTTCAGAAAGGCAAAGTCACGTGATCATGGGGGATTTCAAAATGCAGGTGGACTGGGAAAATCATGTTGGTTGTGATTGCAAGAAAAGGAGTTTGTGGAATGTCTACGAGAAGGCTTTCTGGAGCAGCTCGTGGTGGAGCCCACAAGGGAACAGGCAATACTGGATTTAGTGTTGTGCAATGAGGCAGACTTGATGAGGGAGCTTAAGGTAAAGAAACCCTTAGGAGGGAGTGATCATAAGATGATAGAATTTACTCTGCAATTTGAGAAGGAGAAGATAGAATCAGAGGCAATGGTATTACAGCTGAATAAAGGCAACTACAGAGGTATGAGGGAGGAGCTGGGCTGAATTGACTGGAAGAGGACCCTAGCAGGAAAGCCAGTGGAACAGCAATGGCAGGAGTTTCTGGCACTAATTCAGGAGACGCAGCAAAAATTCATCCCTAGGAAAAAAAAAGTATGGTACAGGGAGGATGAGGCAACCATGGCTGACTAAGGAAGTCAGGGATAGCATAAAAGCAAAAGAGAAAGCATATAATGTGGCGAAGGGCAGGGGGAAACCAGAGGATTGGGAAGCTTACAAAGACTGACAGAGGGCAACAAAAAAAAAAATTCGGAGGGAGCAGATTAAATATGAGGGTAAGCTAGCCAGTAATAGAAAGGGGGACTGTAGGAGTTTCTTTAGCTATATAAAGGGCAAAAGAGAGGCAAAAGTGGACATTAGACCACTGGAAAATGATGGTGGAGAGATAGTAGTGGGGAATAAGGAAATGGCTGAGGAACTGAATAATTACTTCGCGTCAGGCTTCACGGTGGAAGACACGAGTAATCTTCCAAAAATTCAAGAGAGTCAGGGGCAGAGCTGAGTATGCTGGCCATCACCAAGGAAAATTTTCTAGTAAAACTGATTGGCCTGAAGGTGGATAAATCACCTGGACCAGATGGACTATGCCCCAGAGTTCTAAAGGAGATAGCTGAAGAGACAGTGGAAGTGTTAGTGGTGATCTTTCAGGAATCACTAGAGTCAGGGAAGGTCCCAGAGGACTGGAAAATTGCTTACGTGACACCCCTGTTTAAAAGAGGAGGAGGGCAAAAAACGGAAAATTAAAGGCCAATTAGTCTAACCTCGGTCATGGGTAAGATTTTGGAGTTCATTGCAGAGGATGAGATTTCTGAAAATTTGGAAGTGTATGGTAAAATAGGGCAAAGTCAGCATGGGGAGGTCATGCCTGACAAATCTGCTAGAATTCTTTGAGGAAGTAATAAGCAGGGTAGACCAAGGAGATCCAATGGATGTTATCTACCTGGACTCCAAGAAGGCCTTTGACAAGGTGCCACATAGGAGGCTGCTGAGTAAGATAAGGGCCCATGGTGTTGGAGGCAAGGTGCTAGCATGGATAGAAGATTGGCTGTCTGGCAGAAAGCAGAGAGTGGGGATAAAAGGGTCTTTCTCAGGATGACAGCCATTAACAAGTGGTGTCCCACAAGGGTCAATGTTGGGATCACAACTTTTCACTTTACACATTAATGATCCAGATGAAGGAACTGTGGGCATTCTGGCTAAGTTTGCAGATGACACAAAGATAGGTGGAGGGACAGGTAGTATTGAGGAGGTGGGGAGGCTGCAGGAGGATTTGGACAGGTTAGGAGAGGGGGCAACAAAGTGGCAGATGGAGTACAACATGGGAAAGTATGTGGTAAGAAGAATAAAAGCATGGACTATTTTCTAAATGGGGAGAAAATTCAGAAGTCTGAAGTGCAAAGACACTTGGGAGTTTTAGTGCAGGATTCTCCTAAAGTAAACTTGCAGGTTGAGTCAGTAGTCAGGAAGGCAAATACAATGTTGGCATTTATTTTGAGAGGACTTGAATATAAAAGCAGGGATGTACTACTGAGGCTGTATAAGGCTCTGATCAGGTCACATTTGGAGTATTGTGTGCAGTTTTGGGCTCCATATTTCAGGAAGGATGTACTGGCTCTGAAGTGGGTTCAGAGGAGGTTCACGAGAATGGTCCCAGGAATGAAAAGCTTAACATACGAGGAACGTTTAAGGACTCTGGGACTATACTCATTGGAGTTGAGAGAGATGAGGGGGGATCTAATTGAAACTTACAGAATACTGAATGGCCTGGACAGAGTGGATTTTGGGAAGATGCTTCCATTGGTAGGAGACACTAGGACCCGAGGGCACAGCCTTTGAGTAAAGGGGAAGACCTTTTAGGATGGAGATAAGGAGAAACTTCTTCAGCCAGAGAGTGGTGAATCCATGGAATTCACTGCCACAGAAGGCTGTGGAGGCCGGGTCATTGAGTATATTTAAGACTGAGATAGATAGGTTCTTGATTATCAAGGGGATCAAGGGTCATGGGGAGAAAGCGGGAGAATGGGGTTGAGGAACTTATCAGCCATGATTGAATGGGCCGAATGGCCTAATTTCTGCTCCTACGTCTTATGGTCTTATGGCTAATCTGATTGTGACCTCACAACTGCAACTGCACTTTCCCATGACAATCTTTCAATTTATTGATGAACAAGAATCCATCTCCTTCAGCCTTAAAAGTATTCAAGGACTCTACCTCCTCCATCCTTTCAGGTAGAGAGTTCCAACAATGCATGTATTGCTGGGAGAAAGAAAAAAAAAGTCCTAGCTTAGTTAGGTTACCCAAGTGCACAGTACTTCAGATGTTTCTTAACTAGTGCCCTGTAAAGCTGAAGCATAACCTTGTTACTTTGTATTGAATTTCCTGTATGGTAAATGACAACATTATATTAGCTTTCCCAATTGGTTGTTGCATATTGGATATTGTTTGGAGTTCAGTTGGGGTTACAGCATACAAAGCCTAATCAGAGAGACTACTCTAGAATGTAAGGGTTGTACCTCTGTATTGGAAATTTGCTCATGTCACTCCACTCTTTCAGAAGGGTGATAGAGGGAAACCAAGGGATTACAAAATAGTAGGTCTGACATCTGTGGTGGGGAAAACATTGGAGGCTGCAATCAAAGATAGGTAACACCTCAAATTTTCAGTTAATCAAGGAAAGTCAGTACGGATTCCCAAAAGGCAGGCCTGACAAACCTTAAAGTTGTTTGAAAAGGTGTCAAAGATCGTGGACAGAGATAAGTCAATGGATGTTGTTTATGTGGACTTCCAGAAGGTTTTTGATGAAGTTCCACACGAGTCTATTAGCTAAGGTGGAAGCTTGTGAAACTGAGAGCAAATTAATGACATGGATAAGAAATTGGTTGGCTGGCAGGAAAAAAACTAGTTGGAAAAGTAGGTCAGTACTCAAATTAGCGGGACATGACTACTGGTGTCCTGCAAGGATCTGTTTTAAGTGTCAATTATTTACAATATCCATTAACAACTTGGATCATGGCATAAAAAGTCAAATATAAAAATTTACTGATGATACCAAATTGGGCAGCATTGTAGACAGTGGTGATAACAGTATAAAATTACAGTTGGTAGATTTGATGAACAAGCAATGCTGCAGCAGATGGATTTTTTCTAAGCAAGTGTGAAGTTATTCATTTCAGACTGTAAAAGGATAGGGTATATTTTCAAAAGCATGATGTTAGACAAAATAGATATCTAACAAGATTTGCGGGTCAGGTACGTTTAAAAATGCAATTTCATTTATACAGGGTGGAGCTATTACGAAGCTGCTTCATTACATTTTTTGAGGATTTAAATTTTCAAGATTGCGGACAATGATTCATTTGTAGCGCTGAAGAGACACCGATACTTTCTTTTAAAGGGGTTAATAAAAGGACATTGGAACTTTTTTTTAAAAAAGACACTTCTTAAAAATTGCAAGGCTTAAGACAATTGCTTGAATATAATTGCTGTAAATCACACGCCTGGGTTTACGGCTTTGTTTCAGATAAAGTTTGATGGGGAGTCTGCTGAGATAGACAGAAGTGACCCAGAACATCCTCTGCCTTTCTGAATAAAACCCTTTAGAGGGTACAATATGAATTGTGAAATTTTGTACAGATAACTGCCATTGTTTCTGTGTGCCCAGGACAATGACTGAAAGTCATCTTAAACATTTCATACGTGATCACTTTTCACTCCAACTCTTTCTTAAAATTTCCATAGACATACAAACAGGTAACTAGAAAATAAAAGGATAGAAATATTGAGATTGGGAAGGAAAAGCAATGTCAGAGAAGCACTGGTTAAGGCACCGTTTCTGATCACAAATGTACTGATTCTTAGCTATTGACACGGTTTGTGGATGCACCAATTCCCAGTCTTTCGTTCGCTGATTTGAGAATTTGCCATTTTAGTGCCTCTGAAGATAGTTCTTACCCTTTTCCTTTTAAAAGGGGATTTGCAGAGGGAACAACCTACAGAGAAATCTGAGTAAAAGTAACCGACTGCTAGGGATTTTCTTTTACTTCTCCACACAGAGGGACAGAAAGAGATAGAGGCTTTTCCTTCCCAGGCTTGATGTTTCTTCTTTATTGTCCACACCCAAGGGAATTTTTCCTGGGCACATGAGCAATCAAGTGGATATCACCTTGTTGAGCTCTCCTGAGTCCACAGTAACATGTCCCAGTTGAAAAGCCGATTGGCAAAGTTGCTTGGGACACACATTCCCAATTTTGTCCGGAATTCTCCCTCACTTCTGGAATAAAGCAACATTTTAGGTACAAGTCATAGTGTGGTCCAGTAACTCATTATTTTAAAACTGTAAATTATACCTTGATTTAAAACAATATCTTCTCCCATTTTAGTCCATAGTCCAAAAAACAAAATGGTTTTTACAATGGCCAGTGGGATAGGACAGTTAGCTACATCACTGAGTTGTAAATCTTGTTCCAACAGATGACGTGGTTCTGTGACAGTGACCTGGAACACCCTCAAGGACAATAGCAGTGTGTCTCACTCATCAGGAGGAAATGGCATCAAGGATGATGGATGCTACTTCCTCCTTTATCCCTAACACATCCTGAGCGTGCCTTCAGCTGTGACTTCTCTCTGTCGCAGCTGTTTGACAGCTGCTGGAGGTTGCTGCTCATCCTGAGTAGAAACCAAAGTCAAAGACATAAAAAAGATGGCTCAGAGGGAACCAATTACCACCAGCCCATGGGTTGTGTATTAAAAAAGTATTGATCAGACTTTCTAGCACCTTGACTTCCAGCCAGTGCCTGAAGGCATGCATTTCACACTTCCCTCGCAAAGCAACAGTGAAGAGTGTTGGCACAATTCCATTGGATGCTTTGAACCCAACTTATGACCTGATTGACCAAAGGGCACAGAACATTCAGTAAGGTCCAAGGCAGGAGGGGGTGGAGATAAACACATACCAAGAAGTCACACCCTCAGTGAAGACTCTCAATAAAGACTCGCAGCAAGACTCGTGAAGCAACCGAAGAAGACCCAGGAGAATATCTGTCCTGACTTGCAAGGCCCAGTTTAATGGAAGAGATCCAGCCCTACTTTGGAAAGGAAGGAGATTCCAACAGCCCAGCTCAAACACGTTGATTGTTGTGGGTAATATTCTTTCTCAGATGGATAGAGTAAGATAGAGAGTAAATATTGCAGGGATTTGGAAAATGCTCACGTGGTGTTTTTAATAAGGAATATTTTGTTAATAAAATTAAGTTGAACCACAAATCTAAATCTGTGTCCCTTTGTCTATTGCACCAATAACAGTAGTTGGGTGAATATTTTTAATACATAAACTGGTTGAAATGTCCAAAGCATGGATAACATTTTGCACCTGCCTTGTTTAGAACTCAGAACTGTTTGAAAGAAAAGTCATTATCAGACTCAAAACATTAAATTTTCTTCTCTCAATACCTGCTGAGTTTCTCCATTTCTGGTTTTTATTTCAGATTTCCAGCATCTACAGTATTTTATGGAAGTACTTTCTGAAGAAGGGTCCTGACCCGAAACATCAACTTACCTGCTCCTCTGATGTTGCCTGGCCTGCTGTGTTCATTCAAATCCACGATGTGTTGTCTCTGACTCCAGCATCTGCAGTTCTTGCTATCTACAGCATTTTGCTTTTATAGGATTTAAAGGAGATTGGTGAAGGATTGATAATCAGATGGTCCAGCTGTAACTTAATTTGAGCTGATTAGCAACATGAGGGGGAAAATAATATTACATTCACAGCAGTCGGAATTTGGAGTGCACCCCTCCACATTTTGTGTTGGATACAAATTCAAATTGTTATTCAAGTTACAATTGGTTAAATATGTGGGTAAAACAGGGAAAGAGTGGGTTAGAGGGCTGAGGTCGGACTGATTGGAATTCTCTTCGAAAGGCATGAGTTGAATGGCCTCCTTCTGTGCTGCATTATTTTGTTTTATGGGATTAAAGTCCATTGTGAAGCTAATGTGTTTATTGTTATGGATGTTTGAAATTCTTTTCCACAAATGGCAATGGATGCTGGACTAGTTGCTAACTTTAAATCTGAAAATAAAAATTAAGTAAAGTTATTAAGAAATATGGGCCAAAGGCCACAGATTTGCAATGAACTCATTAAATGATGGAACAGAATCATGGGGGTGAATGGCCTACACTTGTTCCTATATTCCTCTGCTGTTGAGAGTTAAAAGGTGGGGGATGGAGGTTAAGTGGCCTAGGAACAGAAGAAGCATCAGGATCTATGATTTCTCTCCTGAATGAAAGTCCTGGGAAGTGACAGCATTTAACTTTGCATAAAAACAACAGAAATTGTAAAGTGCTACTTTGACAAGTGAGACAATTATACAATAGTTATAAAATCTTCCAACCAATGTCTGTGAACTCCTCAGCAATTCCAACAAGCTAATTTACATTGTTACAAATGACGCTTCAGTGATGTGTTAATGTCCCATTCATCATACACTCCATTGACTGTCTTTGCGTTCAATCCTTGCTCAACTTTTCAATTTGCTCCTTAGAGTGGATTTAAATTACAAATTGTCAATCTGAGATCTTGTCCATTAAAGTCAGTACATTGTCCATATTTTATACTTTTCACGTGCCCAATCACATTGCCGCAGTATAGCGCTGTTGTAGCAAAAAGACCTACACTTGATAATGCAGGGTTCAAGTAAACTCAGACTTTCGTTGGAGCATATGTGCAAGGGAGTAGATTAAGCCATACTCAATGCCAAAAAATATGCACTTCACACTTATAGTACTCTACCCGCTGTTCCCCTTTCTCCAGGGCTGAATCTTACATTCGATTTGTTAAGTGCTCAGCACCTAATCACTCACTAGAGACAACTCAACTGTACCACAGAGATAGTAGGAACTGCAGATGCTGGAGAATCTGAGATAACAAGGTGTAGAGCTGGATGAACACAGCAGGCCAAGCAGCATCAGAGGAGCAGGAAGGCTGACGTTTTGGGTCTAGACCCTTCTTCAGAAATGGGGGAGGGGAAGGGGTTTCTGAAATAAATAGGGAGAGAGGGGGAGGTGGATAGAAGATGGACAGAGGAGAAGATAGGTGGAGAGGATACAGACAGGTCAAAGAAGTGGGGATGGAGCCAGTAGAGGTGAGTGTAGGTGGGGAGGTAGGGAGGAGATAGGTCAGTCCAGGGAGGACGGACAGGTCAAGGGAGTGGGATGAGGATAGTAGGTAGGAGATGGGGGTGGGGCTTGAGGTGGGAGGAGGGGATAGGTGGGAGGAAGGACAGGTTAGGGAGGCGGGGATGAGCTGGGCTGGTTTTGGGATGCGGTAGGGGGAGGGGAGATTTTGAAGCTTGTGAAGTCCACATTGATACCATTGGGCTGCAGGGTTCCCAAGCGGAATATGAGTTGCTGTTCCTGCAACCTTCGGGTAGCATCGTTGTGGCACTGCAGGAGGACCAGGATGGACATGTCGTCTGATGAGTGGGAGGGGGAGTTGAAATGGTTCACAACTGGGAGGTGCAGTTGTTTATTGCGAACCGAGCGTAGGTGTTCTGCATGTAAAAAGGAAACATTTGGCTAAGATGAATGAAGGCCCGTTATGTGCAGGATCAAGGAGAGTTTATAATGGGAAACAGATAAATGGCAGATAGCTAAATTATTATTTTTTGTCCATTTTCATTGAGGAAGAGACAAGAAATTTCCCAGACATAGAGATCCAAGTGATTAGGGAAATAAAGAGTTGAAGCAAATGAATATTTGCAAGAAGGTTGTACTGGAGAAATTAATGTGACAGAAAGTTATTAAGTCCTTAAGATGTGGTATCCTACCTCCCAAGAGTTGATGGAGATGGTTTTGTGATGATCAATGCTTTGGTGATCATATTCCAAAATTCTATAGATTTTGGGATGATTCCTGCAGATTGGAAGGTAGCAAGTGTCATCCCATTATGTAAGAGAAAAAAAGGCAACTACAGACATGTTGGCCTTATGCCAGTGTTACACCTCACTGGTGTAGCATTCTTGAAATCAAGCCCCTCAACTCTCAGAGTCATCACAAAAGTTAAAGATTGCATACAAGTATGTAAAATTCCCTAATTTACCCAATTTTCAGAGCCAGGTTGACAGAAAGAACAGACCATGTTTCTGCACTGAGGAAGAATTAATATTTATTACAGGTAATTATACTCTAGCTTTAGATAAACAATTATGAACTGTTGGCATATCACTTTCCTGGTTAAAACTCTAATTTCCTTATAAACTCCTCCTTACACTGATAGACAGACATAGACAGTAATAAAGAAGTATCATGGACAGGGTGTCATGGACAGAGTGAAAACAGGGAAAAGAGTTCAGTGGTCTCTGTTGGAGATCTGCTGAGATGGTTCTTGTCCTTGATCAGAATGTTGCTTCTTAGTCTTCCTTCTCCAGAGGCTTTAACTGGTTTGTGCCAGAGTGATTAGTTCACACTTACAAAAAGTCTCTGACTTATGACTTAAAAGTCAGAGCAAAGAGCAATGCCTGAAGGAAAAGTAATGTGTTTTCATGAAGCTTGAGGAGGCTTTTACTGTAGAGAATGGAGAAAGGTCCCAAGCTGCTGAAGGTTTAAAAACTTCTCACCATCTTTTTCACGCTGTTTAGTTGCCTGAGAATCATCACATAGTTTTTGGCAGGCAGAAAGTCATTGTCATCAATAATTGGTCACTAGTCCACAGACCAATCAATTCCTTACTGTTTGCTAATCTCCATTTGTGCACAACCCTTGGTTCCAGCATATTTGCAAACTACACTTCAATTGTTCTTGAACCAGCAGCTGTACAAACAGTACTTGCAATGATTGTCAGGTTACTTGCTTTAAAAGACTGTAATAATACTCTAACAAGTCCTTGGTTTTGAAAACCATTCTTTTCCTATTCCAGTCCACAATCAAAAATACAGAAAAATGAAAACAAAAAGTCTTACATCTGTAGGAGGGAAAATACTAGGATCTGTATAAAAGGATTACATGTGATAATGTAATGGATAATAATGATCTGATTGGGTAAAGTCAGCATGCATTTATGAATAGAAAACTATGTTTGATGAACTTGTTGGAGTTTTATGTGGATGTAACTAACAAAACTTATGAAGGTGAGTTAGTAAATTGAACTTTTGAACTAATGGGTGGTAAAGATTATACTTATCTATTGATATCAACGGTTAATTTAGTACAGATGATCAAGCTTCAGGAGTCTTGCTGACTATGACAATCCTCGCGGTGAAATGAGCACTCTTCAGTCTGCAGGGTTCAAACAAGCAAAGATTTTTATTGCAGCATTTCAGGAAGAAAACAGTCTGAAAGCCCTATTAAACTCAACTAAATGTGTACTTTACATGTATAGTATTTGATTCCTGCCCCTATTTGTATAGTTTCACAATTTCAAGGCTTGTTAGTTATGTGGAATCCTGTTTTTAGGACATCCTACATAACGAAACGGATCCAGTCTAACATTGTCAAATGTAACCTCGTATGCCCCTATGTAATCTGTGTGGCCCCACAGTTCCCTAAAATTAGTATCATCGAATATATTAAATGTACATGGAACTTGATTGGAGCATTTTTAAATTTTATGAAAATATGTAGTTTAAAATAAATAAGTGCATAAACAGTACAGCAAAACAGGCTATTATGTGCAGCAGCTACCAGTGTTAAAAAATCAGAGTCAATACAGTGTAGAGCTGGAGGAACACAGCAGGTCAGACAGCATCAGAGGAGCCGGAGAGTCAACGTTTCGGATAGACACCCTTCATCAGGACCGGGCAGGGAGAAGGGAGCTGGGAAATAAATAAAGGGAGGACTGGTGGGGCTGGGGAAAGGTAGGTAGGATAGTGATAGGTGGATGCAGGTAGGGGGTAGTGGAGATTGGTCAGTGGGAAGGGTGGGGCAGGTAGGTGGAAAGAAGATGGATAGGTAGTGTCAGGTCAAGGAGGAGAGTATGAGACAGAGGGTTGGACAGGGGTTGAGGCCGGGGGTTGGGGAGATTTTGCAACTTGGGGACCCCACCAAGACAACCCCACCACACACAATATCTTTCCCTGCAACCGCAGGAGGTGCTACACCTGCCCATACACCTTCCCTCTCACCTCCATCCAAGGCCCAAACAAACTTTCCAAATCTGACAGGGATTCACCTGTACATTCTCCAACCTGGTCTA